GGACAAAATGTTCACTTGCCCCGATATATCCCACCCAATTCCAGGTGCTATTGTAATGAGATAATCAATGTTATTAATTTCACTGTATAATAATAATAAAGAGAGGCTGCCACATATGCTTCAACACTATAGGATATGCATATTCGTTCCATATAGTTGCATGGAGTGACTCAGAAAGTACAGAATCCATTAGATCTAAATGACCCTGAATGAGTGTGTAGAAGGTGAGGTCAGAACTCTAGATCTGCATACTTGCTTCAGGCCATTAACTGGAAGTACTGAATTTAGATCAGTATGGCATGCCGGCAACGAGAACTTTCAGAAGGAGGTTAGAAATGCATGGTTCAGGGCTTCAATTCCAAACAATCTGGTCACGGCATGTAATGTCAGCTTAGGTACAGTCGGGGAATTCTACTGCCTACGAACATCTTTAAACACGGCTTTATGCTCAGCAAATGCCAAGATGAGGTAATTATACAGCAGAGTGCTGATGTGTCTCCTAGTTATAAGATAATTAAATATTGATGTTATGCTAGCAATCGCTGTTTGCGGAAGATCCCCCTGGGGAACGTTACACAGGAAGCGTTACAAAAGGCATTATACAAAGCAGCCTTTTAGGTTTGCAAAGCTGTTGTATAGTGGCTTAATGGTGAACTGTGCTGCCTTGCAGAACTGGTGTCCTTGGTTCACTTTTCTGCTGGGTATTTTACACATAAGAAAAAAAGGGGGGGGGCTGAAGCTTTTAGCCATTATGTGCTAGCACACACAGCATATTACCAGCCAAATCAATTTAGGGCTGGCTTCATGAGTGTGTTACTTACGGTGACTCCTGAGTAATAAGTGTATTACTATGACGCACAGTACCACATCATTCATTTTGAATGGCACCCCATAAAAAGAATGCTCCCTGGCCAACAAAAAGGTCCAGTTCCGTAATGCCCAACAAAAGTTGTAAGGCTTAACCACGTAGCGGCTTTACAGATTTAATCTGGACTGGCGCCAACTCATTCCGCCCTGCCTCTCTAACAGCCAGTCTTAGCCATCTGGCTATGGAATTTTTTGTGACCCTTTTTGATACCCCCAAACAACATGACTACTGAGTGACTTTCTGATACCTCATGATAATGTGACACACGTCTTCAAAGTTTGAGTTGTGAAAAAATTCCTTTTGACTGTAAGTTTGATTGGGAGAGATAGTAGGAAGAGCTATGTCATGTGTGCAATGGTAAGTAGAGGACACCTTGGGAGAAAAAAAGGATCAGCCCTCAGCACAGTTTGGTCAAGAAAGTTAAATAAAAAAAGGCTCCCTGATGGATAAAGCTTGCTGCTCACTGATTTGGTTGGCTGGAGTCAACACCACTAAAAGTAATGTTTTGAGGGGAAGTAGCCACAAGGTCATAGAAAAATGAGCTATTAGCATCAGAGATGTGCTCCCTATCTGCAGCTTCTTTATAATAATCAGATTAAACAGAAATAGGGGAAAGGCATAGCACAGCTAGAATTCCCATGGTTGGGCTAAGCATTAATTCCTAAGGCTTCATCCCTTCTGTTTAGGGGAATGAGTGAGGGCACTTTCGCCATCTCCTGGTTTGCTGACAGGTTGACCTGTGCCAAACCTCACTTGCCCATCATCACTGTGAATACTTCCCGATTCAAAGCCCATTTGAATTCCTGGATCCGGTGCCTGCTTAGGAAATCAGCCACAAACCTGAATGTTCCCCTTCATGTGAGCTGTTATGAAGGATGTGAAATTCCTTTATGACCCACTCAGAATCTCACTTGCTAGATCCAGAACTCACCTTCTGGTGTCGAATTCCCCCATCTCTATTTGGTAATGTATGGCACTGCTGTGCCATTGTCTGATAATACCTGGACCAACTGGTCGACCAGGCACTCTGTACCATCCTTGGCCCAGGGGTGCGCCCTGATCATTACATGCAGCAAAGGACACTTTCTTAATCAAAATGGATATACGGGAATAACGTAATGGCTTGCTCCAAGACCCTCCCAACCTAATGTCACAAGAGGAGCATTTCTTTAACAAAAGGAGGTTTGACTTTTCCAGAGCAAAACATAACAGACACACGCCAAACCTTTTAAGACACTAGATAGCATCAATTAAAGGGAACACAGGTATACCAAAAAACACACTCCCGTATGTCAAAAAAAAAAGGTGCACAAGAATAACACATGAACCGAGTTGCCACTGATGCTACATCTAAGTGTTCAACTTGTAGAGGGCACAGTGGAGAGTGAAGTGATCATTCAAAACTATTTCCAGCTCCCGATCGCCGTTGCACTGGACCCGGCTCCTGTCTAAATTGGCCCTGTATGTATGTGAGAAAGGGACCTTGGATTGTAAGCTCCTGGAGGACAGGGGCTGATGTGAATGTGCACTATGTAAAAATTGTCGGTGCTATATAAATACCAATAATAAATAATAGTAAATACAGCTAAACAACACTTTGGTATATTGTAGTACTCAATGACACTGGCAGACAAGTGTCATTTTACACAGCAGCAGCTGCAATTTGACACCCGCTCCTGCTATGTAATGCACAGCAATTGCTGGCTGTCATTTTGACAGCTGGTAATTGTGTCAGAGGAGCAGCGGCGGAGCGAGAGGAGCTGAACGTTGACGGTACACCCTAGAAACTTTATTGAAGTTTTCTCAGCTCCGTCAGGTGGTTAAGGCTTAAACTTCTAGGTAGCTGAGAAGGGTTGGAAACTTTAACATTTCATTCTGTTTGGGAGATTTCCCTTCCTAGCCTGGATACACAACATGATGTAAAAGTTAATCTCTATAAAATAAGATAAATAAAACACTTTAGATGTCCCTGTTGTTAGATGTTCCCACTATTCTGGCTCTGCTGACAACTATAAAATATTTGTTTTCCATCACTTTCTGACAAAGTGACATTGGTTCCCCACTGGGGACGCAGAAAGCAATAGTAGGGGGGAACTCTGTGTCCTCAATTTCTATTTCAAAAGGGAAATATCAGAGATCTGTTTAGACAATGGCAGCTGGGGTCAGCGGTCTGTTTGGACCCTTGGTTCTCAACTGGTGGGTCGTGGCCCAAAAGTGGATCACGACCCCGTGTTCAGTGGGTTGCCGTGTGCCTTCCAATTTTCTAGGTGAGAGGCTTCTCAGCCTCCTCCTAGCACAGCACTGTCTGTTCTTGCACTAAGCAGCCATTCAAAATATGCTGCCCAGTGCAGAGCGCCAGCTTGAGGTGGGGTGGGCTGGAGCTATGGACACACGGGAGCTCCATCTATACATGCATTATTTACAGCTCCCTCGCATGTCCTGTACTGAAGTGACATCACATTCTGGTTCCCAGCACCTCTACAGGTGAGCAAGTGAATTGTACAAGCAGTGCATGTATGGATGGAGCTCCCTCACAGCAGCCAACACTGGACTCCAGGCTGAGGATCCACCCCAGTTCTCGTAAGGTAGGGAGTGTGTATATGTGTGTGGGATTGTGTCTGTGGTTGTGTGTGTCTGTCAGTGTTTTTCAGGGCCCGTTCACACTAGCACAACGAGTTAATCGAACAGTCCTGTGCCATTAACGCACTGTACAATGCAATTGTACCTGCTACGCGTTCTAGTGTGGGAGGTGCGTTGCGATTCATCACCACCTCCCACCCACAGATCAAATCGATTGCACCAGATCACGCGGTACCGCAATGCCTATGCTGTGGGTTCTTCTATTGCAGTGCGACATGGATTGCAACTTAATGACCAAGGACAAATGTGGGTCCTGAGGTTACACAGGTTGAGAACCACTGGTTTAGACAATGCCAGCTATGGCAGCCTCCATACTACATTGATGACAGACTACTTTAAATTCTGTGTCCCTACAGAAATTTCTCCTCAGTTGCTATTCTATGGCTGGGCACACACCTTACAACCATCGCAAGACTTTTGTCTTGCAATGGTTGTAAGGTACTTAAAAAAAAGTACGATCTGCCTATCTTGCATAGGCAGATCGTACTTGCGATGATCGCAAGCCACACCCCCTGAGGGGCGGGCTTCCGATGACCGCAATGTCGAACGGGCAGTGTGCGCTTGCGCACACCGGCCCGTACGGCTTTTATCGTACGGACATGCCACAAACCCGCTGAACATCGTACGATGCTCGGCGGGTTTTCCAACATGTCCGTAAGTTAAAAGTCGTGCGACCTTACAGTAGTAGAGGTCGCACGGGTTCCACACACCGTACGATCGCTGGATTTCCCGCGATTTTCGCAAGGTGTGTGGGGACCTTAACACATATGAACACACAAGGAATGGACCAGAATCCCTACTAGAGGGACACCTACAGCAATAATTAAGTCCCTTTGCTGAACTCTGCTTCCAAAAATACTAGTTGCTTGGCTCTCAAACTGACACTCTGACTTCTATGCTTTGACTCACTTACCCTGAACAAGTATGCAATCAAAGACCTGCCACTTTTATCTAACTTCCCCGACCTGACTGATGACGCATACTTCACATTCATGACAGGCTTCCTCAAATTGTCCACATAGAGATTTTACCTCACTCCTGACTCGAGAAGCATAGAAGACAGGGTTCAGATTGGCAGCCAGGACAACTACACTTTTCACAAACAGATCAGCAATGCCAGCAATTTCCTGCAATTAAATGTTTACTTCATGGTATGTGCTGCTGGCTACCTTGTCTTACAGCTAATATTGGATGCATAGTGTCCTTTCAAGCAGTTTATAGTAACACTGCGACGCAGTATTACAAATGGTCAAACAAGGTAAACAAAGCACAATGATGCCTGCACTATTACAAAAGACAAGTCGGCAGCCAACTGCCCCTTGAAGGTCCGTCTTTGTGGTGTCCCCCCATAATGATGAACGATGTCAGGGCTTCAATAGTGGACTCTGACCTCCCCACCAATGCGCTACAATCTATCCTCATCCGCATCATGCTAAAGAGCGCAACACTGACATCATAACTGCTCGCCCGGAAGCGGAAATGCGTCCGGTCGTTACGGAAGTTGAGTTAGAGACCGGAAGTGGCAGCGATGGTAAGCTAATAACATTCCCCGAGATAAGATGTGATATTTATTTGTCATCTTCCTCCGACTTTATTATGTATAAGGTGTGGTGAGCCAGAGGGGCGCCTCTGCACAGTCTCCACAATTACCTTTGTGTAATGACATTCACCTCTGTGTACTGACATCTACCCTCCATACACCTCTGTATACTGATATATACCCTCCATATACCTCTGTATACTGACATCTACCCTCCATACACCCCTGTATACTGATATATAACCTCCATATACCTCTGTATACTGACATCTACCCTCCATACACTCCTGTATACTGATATATACCCTCCATAGACCTTTGTATACTGACATCTACCCTCCATACACCCCTGTATACTGACATCTACCCTCCATACACCTCTCTATACTGACATCTCCCCTCCATTCACCCCTTTACTGACATCTAACCTCCATTTATCTCTATATGCTGACATCTAACCTCCATTTATCTCTATATACTGACAGCTGACCTCCATTCACCTCTGTATACTCACATCTAACCTCAATTTACCTCAATTCATCTCTCTATACCCCCACCCCCATTCACTCCTGTATAAGGACATTTACCCATCCATCCACGTCTATATATAGATTATATATCTTTATTCACCCCTTTATAATGAAATATACTTGCTCTCTATACATGACACATTACCTCTCTATATGTGACACATTCCCACAGTAACTGCTATATACATGATCTAGACTCTTAGTTATTTCTGTATACATGACTCAAACCCCTGCTCAGCTCACGCATTTCATTTTTGACAAATAGATATTCTTTTTACAATTCTTTGTATATCCTTAGGAGAGCGAGTATTCGGATCCGGAACTGGCAGGTTTGGGAGAGACAGAAAATGGAGAAAATGCCCCAGTGTACTGCATTTGCCGCAAGCCAGATATCAACTGCTTTATGATGTAAGGCTTAATTTATTATCTTTATTTAATCAATGTAATTGCTGAAAAAAATATTCTTACAGCAGCTATAGTTGTCTTGCAGGTTTCTTAGATATTATAAATCAGCCTAAAAGAGAACTATGACCCAAGCTTTTTTGCCCATAGTCTTCGTCAGGGTCGCAGGAGGACATCTACTAATGTCCTCCGGTGACCCAAAACTCAGTATGTAGCAGGCTATTTCCCCCTATATGCTGAGAGCGCATAGCCATGCCACAGCCGGGACAGATCCCGACAATGTTGTCGAGATCCACCTCGCTGGCTGATTGACACCTGGCTCTGCAGGGAGATGATTGGAAGGTGAGCGAGCAACGGTATGTGTTCGCCCACTTCCCGATTTATAGGGCCAACTTGTGACAGTTTCATTGTCACGGGTCGGCTCGAACTCACCTCATAGTTCTCATTTAAACTGACAGTCACCACTCCCCACAAGGAGATGATCCGGGAACTCAGCGATTGGCAGTTTGTGTTCACTGACTTCCTGATCAATAGAGCCGACCTGTGACAGCTTGAATTATGGGGATGAGTGTATTTTAATCACGCCACAATTCTCCTTTAAAGCTGAAATCCATCCATACCTTTAGTTTTGCACAGGTGTCCAGGCTCCTCTCCTGTACTGATTTGTCTACTCTGATTTCATTGCACATTGTTCGCTTCTCACAGTGTGCTTTAGAAGCTGCAGCAAGTCAGATAGCGCCCACTTCATTTCTTGGCTGGAGGATATCCAGCATCATCTAGCTGTTTCCTCCCCAGCCATACTGTCCCTGGTTTGCCCCTTTTGTTTGGTGGAGTTCATATCTCTCAGCATCCTCCCCCCAGCTATAATTTGTATGCATAGTTGCATAGTAAAGCACAGAGACGTAGTAGATACTTCATTGGGTCTAAAATAAGATATGTATAAAATGGAAAGATTTCATTTAAAAAAATATAATTAGCATGTTAATACGTGTGGGCAGGGAAGGCAAAATATAAGCAGATTAAACTTCAGCTTTAAAGTTAAAAATCTGTTAATTGATTATTATGTATTCTTTAATGTAATGTATGTATATTAACTTACTTATGCTGGCTTTGTTTGCTGCTTAGTAGTGCCACACAGTAACTGGGCTCATTCACTTTTTAAAGGTGCCCATACACCTTACAACCATCGCACGACTTTCATTCTGCGATGGTTGTAAGGTAATTAAAAGCTCGTACGATCTGACCATCTTGGACAGGCAGATCCTACTTGCAATCATCGCAAGCCCTCCCCCTCCCCAATGCTGAGCGGGCAGTGTGCACTTGCGCACTCCGGCCTGCGCGGCATTTGTCTCCCGAGAACTCCACTAACCCGCCGAAAATCATACAATTCTCGGTGGGTTTTCAAGCGTGCTCGGAAGACAAAAGACGTGCAATCGTACAGTAGAACCGGTCGCACGCCTTCCATACGGATCACCCGTGATAATCGGCAGGTTATGGGCACCTTTTAGTCAGTAGTGATTTGAATGAAAGAAGTCCTTAAAACACAGCTGCAGCCAATTATATTTTTGTCTTTGCTTTGCATAGTGTGGGAAAGGCTTAGACTTTTAGAAAACTTTGGTCGATTGTATGATTTTCGCAAGGTTGGTGGCATTTCTGCACGTCAAAATTCGTACGATTTACACTGCACATGCGCAGACGAAAATACGCGCGGTTGATTACCACAATTCGTCCAGGTGCTTTCTTCTAATTACCGCTGATCCAACCTTGCGATAATCGGGGCAGGATGGGGCCGCCATATGAAAATCGTACGACGTTTCGATCATCGGACGAAAAGTGTAATCCGATGATCGCAAGGTGTATGGGCAGCCTTAGAGAGGACTTTTCTGTTCCTGTTCTTGCTGACACCCGTCACCTGAAACTCTTTACTAGAAAATGTGTTCACTACTGTCTGAGTTTACGGTGGGGGGATTTTTCCTTTGTCTGACATGGTCAAATAGGAAGGTAGAGGAAATCACAACAGCATTTGTAGTATTTAAATTGTGTATTGCTTGATGTCAACATGTCTGTTTTTTGTATAGTGGATGTGATCACTGCAATGAGTGGTTCCATGGAGACTGTATCAACATCACAGAGAAGATGGCCAAGGCTATTCGGGAGTGGTACTGCATGCAGTGCCGAGGTAAGGAAAGCCAGTTATTGGGATTAAAAAGGATAGGTCCCAAAATATTACAGAGGATGCCGTTTTGGGGACTTCACAGTTCGCTAAGAACTGATAACATCACTGTGGCATGGGCTGCAAAGTGCCCAGTAACTAAAATCCTGACCTCGGTGAAGTCATTGGTTCAGTCAGTGGATATGCTGTGTTTTGAAAGAAATGACAAGTTGTTCACAATGGCAGCCTACACTAAGCTCTGGTGACATTTCAAAAAAAGGACTATGAGGTTTTTGTGTCAACATTCTCTTAATAATAAAGTTAAAGAGTTGTTTCCCCATGTCCACCAATTAGATTTTGGCTCTAGGGGCAGGTTTTGATCCGATTGGTGGGTGAGAGGAAAGTAATTCCAGTTCTTAATAAGAATACCTTGACACATCAGACCATAAGTCTCAAACAACCTGTGGTAATAGAAACATGGGAGATGCCTTTGCAGATTTGCATTTAAAGTGTAGCTCCACTTTTGTTTAAAAAAAAAAGCGAACTCTATACATTGCAGTGAATTTAGCAAACCTTTTGAAGATTGATTCTTTTCTCTTATTGTTCGTCACAACATGTCATTTCTCTGACTGATGCCTGAATGGGAGGGTATGTCTGCACTCTAACCACCTGAGCACATCTCAGTGTTCATATGAAAAAAGCTGCTTTGTCTGCATCCATTTAGATAAGTACAGGTTTTGCAGAATATCTTTCTGAAAAAAGAACCCTTGGTGCAGGTGTTGCCTAAAACTGGGCTTCTCTCTTAGTGAAGACTTCTGAGAAAAGCACTGAGGGAATCATACAAGCAAGAAAATAAATTTTTAGGGTCATTATGTGCTCCGACCGTGCATGGAATACCTCCAGGTTGATATTTTGCAAGGAAACAATATTTTGACTTTCCTTGTCGCTTTTGGAAAATTAGAGGAGATGGAAATGGAAGTTATTTTTTCAATTGGTAAATCCTTATAGGGGCTGAATTATAAATCATTTGCACAGCTCTTCCCTGTGCAAATTATATTTTCATTGCTGTATGCCTACTAGAGGGACCCGAGGAGCATAGGAATTCCCTATGTCTCTTATCTTTTTATCTCTTTCTTGTCCTGTGCTGAAGTATGTTATGATTTGTGACTCTGATTTTGATTGAAAAAGCCTTTAAATACCATTGTGCTGCTTCCTGCCCTCTCCTCCAGTGCTCTATGCTGACATAGATGAGTAACAGCCACACCACGCAGCACAAGTCTCGCACAGATTTGATTTGAAGAGAAGCGGAGGGGGCATGTCAGCCTAGTTTTGTAATTGACTGATTAATGATTGTATTGCACTGCACAATCATCTTTTGACACCCTGTACAACTGAAACGGAAAACAGAGAGAGCTCCTCCATCGTGTAAAACGCTTTAATGTAACGATATAAGAGGAGCTAAAATCATACTGACAAACAAATGGAGTAAATAAGCATAGAGTGTAAATCAGCAAGACGAAAAACTGAGATCGTATGTATCAGGCTTAGCCGACAAGCTGCTTGTCCTTCCTGGTTTGCGCGTTTCAGAGGGCACGCCTCCTTCCTCAGAATCATTGGTTTTCAGTTTTGTGGTTGCCTTAAACCAGCAGAGCTGCCTCGAGAGTACATCATATTGTTTTTTTACACAGTTACTGGTGCAGGCGCTTGTGTTATTAACACCCTGTACAACTGCTGTAACTTGGAAGTAGAGGTAAAACTGGAAAATGGTGGGTTGTAAGATGCATATGACTACATTTTATTTTTCTCTCAATCGGGCTTTCAGTTGCAAAATGGCTAGTGTAGTATATGCGCTGTACAGTGTACACACTCCCTTTCTCGGCATCTCTGAGATGCTGTGAATGGATTTAACTCCTGCATCATCAGTGACCACCCAATGGCTGAAGAGCAATTCCGAGAACTCGGAACTGTCAGCGTTGGAGGGGGGACAACAATGAGGACCAAAGTTCAATCCAACAGCACCGGAGAAGGGCACACTTTTAAGGTAAGTGTGCTGTAATGTGCAAAGCACTGTAAAAGATACAGGCTCCATTTTTTTTTTAAATCCTTGTCTGGGTTTGCTTTCTATCTTTGAATGGAGATTGGATGGGTTATTGTGATGTAATTGCTGGGAAATAGCATTTTGTTTTACAGTAAATTTATATTTCCAGATAAATATCCCCACCTGGAGATTAAATACCGACATAAGAAGAGCAAGGATAGGGAAAAGGATACCGAGCGGGACGAGAATGAAGAGGTAATGAGGAGCGACAAGAGGAGGAATAGCACGAGCAGTGTCAGTAAGGTAATCAGTACACCTATAACATATGAGACGCCATGGCACAGTTCTAGGTTATACCATTTTAAGGCACAAATCCACCCAACTATCAAAAGGCAAAAGCCAAGCTGAATTAATTCAGATTCACTGCTACTGATGCCATCTCCTCGGAAACAAAAGTATGTCTGTACCAGCTTTGGCTGTATGTCTGTATAGCATGCTGAAACTCTACAGACACCCTGTATTGCAGAGGTGAGCACAAGGAGGTGTTGCTGTTCACCCAAATGCACAGTACTCTAGTTGCTCTCTTTTTATGTGACAATATGTCTGGGTGATTTAGCCTATAGAGGTGGAGTAACAATTTAAGGTTTTTAGGAATAGATCCCAACATTAATTGCTGATTTTTACTACCAGAGCTGTAGTATATGCCTACTTTCAGCGTTTCTATCAAAACGCTGATGAACACAGTGTTTGTCTGATACATTTGTGGAATGCATTTGATATCTAGACTCCTAACAGCCTGTGTTTCATCTAGGGGTCGGCCAATCAGAGGCCATTAATGAGAGCTTGTCAAAACAGATTTTGGCTTGCTACCCATTGTAACTTGAGGTGGTTGAATTGGACTGTTGCCCGTTCTAGTCACACTGAACAATCCATCTTTGTGAATTGGAGTGTGTTATATGGAACATTCTCTGCATGATATCTGCTAGCACATAAACCTTGCACTTCCTGGCAGTTCCTGTAACTATAAAAGGGCATTCTGGAATGGAATAAAAAGATGTTTGCTTGTTAATTTTATCTGATACAGTAAAAGATTTGAATGCATTTTAGGCTATTTGTGAATGATTTTGTTTACAAACTATTTGGCGTTAATTTTGCTGTGTTTAGCCAGTTCCACGTTGGAGAATTGTGTTTAATATTATGGACATTTCAAACACAGCAGGCAAAAGTCTACCCGATGTTTAATTACTTACTTAGACAATAATACAAAAGAAAAGGCACTGGCATACTTTGGACTCTGCTGTTACCGATCCTGATGTTTTAAATGTATTTATATTTAATTTCATTTATAATTTAATTTTATATTTGTTAGGGCTGCAACTAACGATTATTTTCATAATCGATTAGTTAGCCGATTATTAACTTCGATTAATCGATTAGTTGTATTATTTAAAAAATCTCTCTCCCCTCCTCTCCCCGTCCCTCTCTCTCTCTCTCTCTTAAAAAAAAATCTCTCTCTCTCCCACCTGTCTCTCTTTCTCCCCCCTCTTTTGCTCTCCCTCTTTCTCCCAAACCAACTAATCGATAATGAGAATAGTTGCCAACAATTCTAAATCTATTATTATAGATGTAATCGATTAGTTGTTGCAGCCCTATATATTTGTAATTTATATTATATTTTAATTGTGTATGTATACTTAATTTCACTCTTTTAGTGTGAAAGAGAGTATGTTTTTTTTGTATTTACTATGGGCTGGTGAATATATGTTAGTGTAGATAAGAGGGTGATATTCTCACATTTAAAGTAGAATATGAAGAGACACCGGCACTCCAATAGTGAATCAAATACGTCTGTTTACTTGACGTATGAGTATCATAGTGTGATACACTTAAAGCACGATTGCCAGCCGTCGACTACGGTAGCACCCACCCTTATTTCTTTGGAAACTGTGGTTTCTGAGTGCGATGGGTTCACTGACTACGGTTGCCAGCTGTCGACTACCGTAGCACTCACCCTTATTTCTTTGGGAACGGCGGTTTCTGAGTACGATGGGTTCATTGACTGCATTAAGTGTATCACAGTATGCTAGTCATACGTCAAATAAACAGACGTATTTGATTCACTATTAGAGTGCCGGTGTCTCTATACAGTGGGGCAAAAAAATATTTAGTTTGGGAGAACTTGCACAATTGGTGGCTGCCTAAATACTTTTTTGCCCAACTGTATATTCTACTTGATATCTACCATGGTTGTCAGCTTTCGACTACCGTAGCACCCACCCTTATTTCTTTGGAAGTGGAAGTTTCTGAGTGCGATGGATTCATTGACTTTATTCTCACATTAAAAAGGAGAATTATAAGGCAAGTGATTTTCACTCAGCCTCATAATCTGAGCCGACCTGTGACAATGACAGGTCGGCTCAGTAGATCGGGAAGTGAGCGAACACATACCGTCGCTCGCTCACTTCTCGATCTATCCCTGCAGCGAGCCGTGACTGTCACTCACGGCTCCCTGCAGGGATTCCCCCCTCCCCTGTTCGATCCTCCAGCTGTCAATCCCCGCAGCTGGGTGGATCCAGACAGTATACCGCGAGCTACAGCTCTATACTGAGCTTTGAGTCACGGGAGGACGCTAGTTTGTGTTCTCCCGTGACCCTTAGGAGAACTATGGGGAAAAGCACTGACCCCATAGTTCTCCTTTTAAAACTCAACTCCAGAAACACATAGATAACACTGAAAATAACACTAAATGTACCTAAATGTGGCTTGGTATTAGCTTCTTGCAATCCCTGTAAAGTACAAGTCACTAACAGGAGAGAATATCTCACAAGGCCGCTGCTGCTGCTGCTATTTTATATATACATATAATAAGGGGTAATTTAATCGGTTGTGGACAATAGGCTTGCTGCTTACGCCTAAACACCCCCAAATACTTTACTGATGATTTTTTTTTGTTGCTTTCTATTTTTTAACCATTAATACTAATGTTTTTTTTACATTTCTATTCATCCTGTTTATTTTTCTTTTTTTACCCTAACAATACAAATAGCACAAAAAATTTAGAAAAGCCGTTATTTCATGTCTCAAGCATTGTTTGTCTCCGATAAAATGATATTAATGACAAAATGATTGCCGAATAAACAGGCCCATAGCAGATATATAAGAATAGCTCTGTTCCATAGGGGGTGTACAGGTGTGAAAGCTGAAATGGTTAAATTGTGTTTATTTGAATAGAGAAGCCATACATCCAACTGTGGCTGATAATAATGCCCCTGTTGCTCTGAATGTAATATTTTTACTTTTCGACCTCTTGGAGGTGTGCTATGCTACCCAACAAAGTATTAAACTGCCCTATATGTGTTACTTGTATTTCAGCAGCAGATTAAACGCTCTGCAAGGATGTGCGGTGAGTGTGAATCTTGTAGCCGCACAGAAGATTGTGGACAATGTGATTTCTGCAGAGACATGAAGAAGTTTGGAGGTCCCAACAAGATCCGTCAAAAGTGCCGCTTACGTCAGTGCCAAGTGAGAGCACGGGTAAGAGTGCCACTGGGTGAGCTTTGCCTTGTGAGTGACCTGTCAGAATTGTTATTCCCTCCTGCTTTTAACACCCACCCCACACTGTAGAAAAGGCCAGTTGAGCTGTTTGCATAATAAGATGCCTTCAAGAGGTTTTCCATATTCAGCTAGAAAGCAGAAGGTCTGTGCATATAGCCTGCCCTTTGCTGACAGCTGGGGTCCCCACATTTTATTTCCCATTGATTAGTTGTTTGAAACGGCTTTTCCAGCGAGACCCACTTAAGGATTTGAAAACCTTTGGTGGGTTTCTGAGGTCAGGTTGCACTGAAGTTCCTCTATTAAAATAAGTACATATTGAGAAGTTCAAAAAAAAAGGAAGGCATCGGCCTAGCACAATCCATCAGCTAGGGAAATTCATCTGTTGTGAGTTTCTGATTGGTTGGTGTGTTTTAGTCCAGTTTGCTTTTTGCCCGATAATAATCTTCTCATACATCTGCTATGGGTTATCCTTAGAAAATGCTGCGTGTTAAGGACGATGAAAGTACAGTGTTTAGGGATACCCCAGAACCGTCCAGCCTTGCCGAATCTCTCTCCGATGATGACCTTCCACTGGACCCAGAACTGTACCAAGAACTGTGTGCTGGAGGAGCTTTCGATGACCAGAACTTGGTAACTGAACTTTGCTGGGAGTAGATGGAGATACCTCTAGCTGTAGAACTTTCATAATAAGACTTGTGTTTCTGCAGCCGTGGCTCAGTGACACAGACGACGCTCCGTTTCTCGATTCTGTGCTGAGGAAGAGAGCCGTCAAAGTAAAGCACGTTAAGAGACGCGAGAAGAAGTCAGACAAAAAGGTATGTCAGTTTTTGCCTCGTGGAAGCCTAGGTTGCCCATACTCAGGCCAACTTTTGGTTAGCATTGGAACTGCGTCAGTGAGCTCTAACAACAGGCCGTCTATGGGATGTAAAGTAACTGATCCTATGCTCCTTGTTGTTAAGGAACATTTTCCTGAATGCTGGAAAATCTCTTGCAGCCAATCTTTGTTACCAGTGTCAGGTGCAGGTTGTACAGTAAAAAACATGATATACACACAGTTGGTTAAAGGGGGACACCCATGGACTTTCTGAAAACCTAATGAGTTTTCCTCTGATGCCAGGGCTGAAAGGATGTGTTGAGCTGATCAAGCTCTCAGTAAGGCATTCACTCTGCCTTGCACTGTTCTTCCTTGGAAACAATGGAGCCTCAGACGGCATGCAGGCTTTGAGTCTATGAAATGGTACCTATTGCTCCCCCATCTTGAGGGTTTTTGATTGAGAACCAAAAGTGCAGATACACTGGTGACTGGGCTATGTTTTGCCCAATGTTTGTGTTTAGGTATGCTAGACATGGGTTACAATAAACCTTTTCTGAGATGAATTTTGTGGCTGCCATTGTGGTCTTCTGAAAATGCTCAGTGCATGGCTGTTATGCATACCTACTGGCTTAATTACTTCCTGAATCACTGACCATGAACAAGTATGCAGATTAGAGAAGCTGGAGAAAAGGCAAAGGTCATTATAGGTTTACTTTTGAGTCATTGACTAGACCGTTTTAAAGAAGAACTCCAGGAAAAATGTTATCAACCCTTGCAGTGGGGCTACCCCCGCACTGCAAGGGTTAAAGTGACATTAAACCCTCAGATTTTTTAACATAAAACAATACTGAATGTGTGCCTTACTGTAATCCATGGTAGTTTCCCTTCTCTTTGCTGCTCTTCCTTTTAAATCCTCATGTCTTCTCATGCTTGGGGAGAACTTCCTTTTTCAGCTCAGGGCCTCTTCCTGTAGTGCTGGCTCAGGTTTCAAGCCTATACAAACTTATACACAGACACCGTGTATCCATTACTGAGACAAGGCAGTCTGCTGCAAAACAGAAGTTCTGCCCAGCATGAGAAGAGATACGGATTTAAAATGAAGAGCAGCAAAGAGAAGGGAAACAACCATGGATTACAGTAAGGCACACATTACAGTATTGGTTTATGTTAAAAAATCTGAGGGTTTAATGTCACTTTAAGTGCTCGTTTGTGTCTAGGTGCTACAAAAAAAAATTATACTCACTAGACCATCCGAGCTGGCTCCCTGCTTCTGTTATCACTGAAGTGTGTCACCTCCGTTGCACAGATGGACTGCTCCCCTGCGTCCTTATGTCTATACACAGTCTAAACATAGTGTGTAGAGCGTAATGACACCAGGTTCCTTAGACTGTTGCAGCAGAGGGGGAAAGACATTCTAGACACCGGTCTAAGAACAAGCCGGCTCGTAAGGTCTGGTGAGTGTAACTTTTTTTTTTTTAGCACCTAGACACAAATGAGCACTTAACCCTTGCAGTGCGGGGGTAGCCCCACTGCAAAGGTTAATCATTTTTTTCCCTAGAGTTCTTCTTTAAAGGAAGTATGAGATCCAGACAACTAAAAGGAGAGATCCACAGCATCAGCCATCACACTCTTCTTTGTAAGGTTTCCTTTATTTTATTTTACAATACAACTAGTTTAGATCATGTCAGATCAGGGTCACTTGTATAAAGTAGAATTAAACTCTCCTTTGTTTTTGCATATAGCTACTGCTAGCAAGCAGTAGCTATATGCAAAAACATTTTAAAAAGTTACCAAAAAAGGTAAAAATGTACTTGTGTCTCCGCCGCTCGCTCCTGTCTGAAGATCTGAAGGTTCTCGAGCAGCCATGCAGGATGACGGGGCGGGCACATGCGCAGTAGAGATCTTTGGCGTGGAGAAGAGGAGAGACACAGTGGAGCTGAATGCACGCAGCCGGGAGCGTGAACGTGGGGCAGACACCGTGGGACAAGAAGAGACAGGAGTCTGCGCTGGATCAGGGACCGGCACCAGCTCTGAGGGACTGCTGAATAGGAGGCTGAGCAGGGCGGCGCCGGAGGAGAGCTCAGCCTCCTGTGACAACAACAATAATATAGCTCTCCTCCCCGCCCTACTTGGCCTCCTGACAGTTTCTCTCCTCCCCGCTTGACAATGCTCTTTGTCAGAAGGGACGCAGAGCAGCGCACAGCGGTGAAGAGAGAAACTAAGAATGCACCGCAATTTTGGCCGAAAGATGGTACTTCCACCATTTTGCCCAAAGTGCCAGTTTCAGCCGATATGTTTTGGTGACCGAAATTTCCATGCATCCCTAACAATTAGTTTAAAGTGACCCTATCAGATCGGGGTCACTTGTATAAAACATACAACATGCCTGCAAAAAAAAGACCATGTACTTACCTTTACGATTACCCATTTCTTGAAAATCCGCCGCTTCACTTCTCATCATCCTCTACCAGTATTCGACCAGTTGGATCTGTCGAATGTCACTTACTGTGGTTCCTCCCGTCGGCTTATACATCCTGTAGTGATGTGCACGGTTATGGGTGAAACTCCAGCAATTGCTCAGGGGAGCAGGTTATTCACACACTCCAAAAGTGTGAATAATTGTAGAGGACTGTGAGCGGTGAAATGGTGGCTGTTCTAGAAACAGGCTGTCATAAAGGTAAGTATATATAGTCTTCATTTTGTGAAGACTATATCATGTTTTACATTCTTTGCTAACAGGCACCCATATATGCATTTATACTAGATTCCTTAAGGCTTCTGCACAGCAGCACTCTAGGAAAAGTAACAAAAACACCCTAAATCAGAGCTAGAACATGTAATGAGATCAATAAATTATTTATCTGCAGGCTTGTTGAGACTCGGAGTATTGAAGCCAGACTGGTTTCGTAAAGTACCCTTCCAGTGACCATGTAAGGTACTTTCTGAACTTTCTGAATCCTGGTTGCAGTTCATTACACAGAATTCAGATTAAAGTTAATCCAGTGAAATTTCTGATATCCACACAGCTGTGTGGTTTGTTGGATACAATTAGTAGCTTGTGGCTTTCACTTGTTGCGTAGAATAGTTTATTAACAATAGGTCCTCAACCTGTGCTAAATGCACAAGAACAGAGTACTGTAACCTGCTTTTTGGTAAAAGTTAACAACGTTTAAAAAGTAACTCCCATGATAACCCCTAAAATAAATATCTTCTCTCCAGGGCCCATCCGGTCTTTTAAAATCAAAATGACTAACCTTCTGACACAGAAGCCCCACTGCACGAAGACTGACAACTCAGCAATCTGGTTTCTTTGGAAACAAGCACTGGGGGCCTCTTCACTTTGGCTTATGCACACTGCATCTCCATAGGCTTTAATTGATTCCGATCTCTTTGCAAATTGACAGGAGAGATGGGAATCAATAAGAGCCTATGGAACTATGGTGCGCATGCGTCAAGTTGATCGGGAAGTCTTCAGTGCCCACGTTTCTATGGAAACTTGATCGCTGGGTTGCAGGGCATACTGCAGCGAATTCTGCATCAGAAGGTGAGCATGTTTTATATTAATCAGAGAGGTTTTTAATGGAGAATATTTATTTTAGGGCAGTAATCAAAAGCCAGCCATGTACTGCTCACATTTTGGCTGATTCCTGCTAAGTCGGCCTTGTCCGCACCATCCAGCTCAACAAAAGATGATTTTTCAATCGACTTTTGTTTGGAGAAGCTAGGTGAAAAATTGTCGGCCAAACTTCAGGTGAAGTCACTGCTCGGGTATTCAGCAGGCGCAGGTCCCGGCGGCTGCTGAACACAATAGCCAGCATGGAAGATTCCTTTATCCACACTGTTTAGCATAGATGGGGGAATATGGTTTCTCTCGTTCAGCCTACCTGGCTAAATGAGACAAAACTAAAGGTGTGTGGCTAGCTTTATTTACCCTTGTAAATGATTTATGCTAATCACAAAAGCAAAGGCAACACAAACGTACTCCAGTCACCAGTCTGCACGTAAGCTAACAATGGTATGTGATCTTTTCATAGTTTGGCAGTAATAATGCCTTTGTAAAGCCAATGTTTGATTATTCTTTTATAAACGTAAAGGGCTGGTTCATCCAACATTGATGTTTCATTTGTTTGTAGTGCTGGAGAGTTAAATCATCTAATTGTTTCTTTCAGGAACTCTAATGCTGAGATCTTTGTACTTGAGTTCCCAGGTGTGCACACATGCTGTGGCCATTATAAAAGTGGTCCCAATATCCCCTGGTTTTTTTACATTTGTGCTATAATATGACTAGCAAATGTGTGCCGACCATGAAAGAAGTCATTATGGAATTGGGAGTAAAATTCTCTATAGTCCCATTAATACATTTAATAGCTGCTTCAGATTGAGTTCCTCCCGTGAGAAATACCTGCCATAAAGAGAACATTACTTACTGTTCATAACAGGCACCTTCGGGTGCTTGTACACTGCCTCCACTCTGCTGTAGAGTGGATTAACCCCGAAATCCAGAGTGCTCTGCAGTGTACTTACCGATTAGATTGCAATTAGATACAAATGGTCCAGTGGAAGAGGCACTCACAGGTCGTAAAATGAGGCAACATAGATACATTTATTGGTCAATGTTTCCAAACATCTGCCAAGAAATGTATCTATGTTGCCTCATTACAAGGCCTGTGAGTGCCTTATAAATTTAATGTTTTGGCATTACAGGAACGTGCAACAGCGTAATTGATTTGAGGCCGCATTCATGCCTGTAAGTTTAGGTGCGATTAGGGATTCCTGTGTCAGGAACTTGTGTTTTCTTGAAGCAGGAATCCCTAAGCTGCCATTTACAAGTGGCAGCTGTCGCCCGTTCAAGTTAATGATCGCGTGACAGAGACTGCATGTAATTGTATACGATTTCTACGCTCGTTGCATGCGGACAGAAGTCAATCACTCTCCCTGGATGCATAATCGATGTGTCCAGGGAGAGTGATTGATGTCTAACTGCATGTAATTGTATGTGATACGATTTCTATGCTTGCTACATGCGGATAGGAGTCAATCACTTTCCCTGGACGCATAATCGATGCGTCTAGGGAGAGTGATTGATGTCTAACTGCATGTAATTGTATCACATAAGATTACATGTGGTGTTTACATGCAACCGCTGTCACCTGATGATTAACTTGAATGGGTGGCAGCTGCCGCTTGTAAACGGCAGATTAGGGGTCCTGCTGCAGGAAAAGGCAAGTTCTTGATGCAGGAATCCCTAATCGCACCTAAATATACTGGTGTGAATGGGTCCTGTGTTTGGGATTAGATAGAATTGTTAGGCTATTCAAACAGTTTAACCAGCCTGGTAAAAACATTTAGGTTTCGCCTATAGCAAATCAGATTTAATATCCTATGCTCATGTCCCTGGAAAATGGCAGAAGAAATGTGTCAGGTAGAGCCAACATATCCTTTCTTTAAATTCTGAACATTATGTGCCTTCACAATACTGGGCTTTCAGTGTCCTGATCTGCACTTGTCATATACTCACTGTTTTTCACTGTTTTATGTATTTATTTAGAAAGATGACAAGTACAAGAGACACAAGCAGAAGCAAAGGCACAAGGATAAAGCCAAGCACTCGGAGCGCTTGGAAAACAGAGATTACTCATCATTACGTCAGTGTTTAGGGCCAAGCTGTGTCCAGCCAGCCCGAGCCGGCTCTAAGTACTGCGCCGATGACTGCGGCATGAAGCTGGCAGCCAAGTAAGTGCAGCAGCCTACATCGAAAGTTTCTACTTTCATTAGACTCTTCTCTAACAAAAGATGTGCACCTTTCCATATTGTATAAACTTCCATCCATGTGCTTATTAAAGGTCACCGAAACAGTATCGAGTCTTAAACAGCATGACCCTGCCACCCTTTTTACCTGAAGCTTTATAGTTCACAGATCCATAAACATTGGGGGGGGGGGGGGTTTCAAATAAAGGGATTTGTTTCCAAAATTGTGTTAGCATTAGGTAGCAATTTAAAGATAATGTATAGTATTTTCAGTTTTTATATTAATAAACACATGTGAATAGTTCAACATGATGTAAATAATCTGAACAATTGTTAAGAGAGTTACAGAGTGATTGCACTTGACCCCTGATAGTTCACTCTAGTGGCCAATGTACACATCTCTAAATGCATCTAAAAAGGGTTCAGACCACAGGTTCACTCTAAAGCTGGCTTCCTCGGCATCTAATACTTACCTTCTCTTTGCTCCCTCATTACACGCCAATGGAACCAAGGAGAAGAAGCCCCAGGTCAATCCAGTCAGTGCTTAAGCAGGGCTGAGGACCATCTCTTTGCTCCCATTAATATATAAATATGGTGCACTCTAAATGCCAGCATTCCACCATTTTGTGCTGTAGTGATTTAATGCATATTGTGCTGTGACCAAATCCTAGACGGGAACGTGTATCACCAGCATTTGATCTTTTTCTATTTAAATTCTATTTATACCTTACAAAAATACAGCAACATTTCTAGAGCTCTACAGCAGCCTCTTTATCAGGCAACAGTGCCTGATAGAGATGCTAGTATAGAGTTCTGACAGTGGTGGGCCATTCACTAAGCACCAGTGCTGTCACAAAAAAGAAGAGTGAGGCGCATGGATCCCTATTCTGAGAAGTAAAGGAGTTTCTATTTACTCTTGGTGCTAGATGAACCAACAGGGGAGTGTAGGAGAGGTCCAGAGATTATAGGGAACCTGTTGCCCTGCCCTGCATCAGGTGCAGTTTATGGTAAACACTGCATTATTAACTCACAGTGTTGGACACCATTGTTAGTTCCCTAGGCCATACCATTAAGATATTAACCATGCAAAGCAGAGTTCTTTAAAAAAAATTGATTTAGACCTTCTAGGATTTTATTATTAGTCTTTTTGCTTCATGTTCATCTTCAGTCGGATCTACGAGATCCTCCCACAGCGCATCCAGCAGTGGCAGCAGAGTCCATGCGTTGCTGAAGAACAGGGAAAGAAGTTGCTGGAACGGATCCGCAGAGAGCAGCAGCAAGCTCGTACAAAGCTTCAAGAAATGGAGCGTCGCTTTCACGAGCTGGAGGCATTAATCAGCAAAGCCAAACAACAGCAGATCCGAGAGGATGAAGAGGTGTGCGAATTGTCAGAGCCTGTTCACACCACAGAGAGTGCATTCCAGAGCGTTCGGCCTCAGCAACACAACCCGACCGGCTCCCTGCATTCAGGAGCGGGAGGGGGAGTGATGGTGCATTAAAGTCAATGGCACCTCAGCCAAGCCCCCCGCCCGCAGTGCGATCGCCGGCATTTGACCGCGTGGCACACTAGTGCCTGCGTTCAGGTCCAGTGCAATCTGCAAAAATGATTTTGCAGATCGCACTGGACCGTAACGCAGGCACTAATGTGCCACGCGTTCGGGTCCCGGCGTTAGCACTGTGGGCGGGAGGCGTACTGCAATGCCATTGACTTCAACGCACTGCCACGCCCCCTCCCGCCCTGAACATAGGGAGCCGGCCAGGTTGCACTCCAGTACGTTCCAGAGTCTGGAGCGCACTTTTTGTGGTGTGAACCGGCCCTCAATCTTTGTTAAATCACTGGGAGACATTTGCAGCAGGAGAATCCAGGGAGATGTGAAAGAGTACTTTTTTTTAACCATGATTATTTACTTATGTTCAACAGACCAACGACGGGGACAGTGATGACACTGATCTTCAGATTTTCTGCGTGTCCTGTGGCCATCCAATAAATCCCAAGGTTGCTTTGAGGCACATGGATCGCTGTTATGCCAAGGTGAGAAAATTCTGAAGCACGCCAACCATATTCAAAGAAAATACCAGATAGAAGAAAGAAGCTGCCCGCAATCCTGATCCATATGTTTGTGTTAGGCATGTGGGGCTGAGGTGGATTGCTTACATACCTGAGACTTGCTTATGTACCAGGCATGTGCCTATGTACAAGGGAGAGGGATTTGCTATGTGTGACTAGGCAAGTTGAGAGTAAGGATGGGCTTGGGGCGTGTTCGCAGCTCCACGTGTCCCGGGACAAATATCTGGCGCAGAACACAGTACCGTTTTTATGTTTTCAAAGATTTGGTCCAGGAAAGAGCTAAATAGTTAGCACTTCTGGAGTTGGGCTGTTCAGTGATTTACATCCCTCAGTACCTCAACTTCCATTAGAAAGCTAAAGTCTGTTTGGGAAGTCAGAGCCTTTATCTGGGTATTGGTCATCCTTGAATAGAACAACACCATGACACCACTGTGCAGAACATTGCTTTGTTGATGATAATGGCATACTTTGAACGCCAAGTGACCTGAGACTGTGCAGGTCACCGTAAGCTTCTTACTGTCTTAAACAGAGAGGATGTTAAGCAAAGAATCATGAGACCCGATGCTGCAGGCGGCTTCCTAAAATCTTTCTGCATTGGATGTTATAAGTTCGAATTGCTATTTAATGAAACTGTGAAACTGTATGTAAGTTTTTGTTGTTTTTATCAGAGATCGATAATTCTCCTATTGTGTTTTTGTTTCTCCTAGTATGAAAGCCAGACATCCTTTGGATCCATGTACCCAACCAGAATTGAAGGGTAATTTTTGTCCATGAACTTGCTTCACTGCACGTTACAGTCACATTTTTGTGCCCTGCCTTTGCTTTTGCTTATGTTTGGTCCTCATAAACATACTTGTTTTTCCATTTGCAGAGCTACCCGTCTCTTTTGTGATGTATACAACCCTCAGAGTAAAACCTACTGCAAGCGGCTACAAGTCCTCTGTCCAGAACATTCCCGAGACCCCAAGGTTAGGCTTCATTTTTTGTAACATTTTATAGCGGTTATATCAATGACTTAAAGCATAACTAAACCCAATGATTTAACTGTTTCCAGTTATAAGGCATTCCTCTGGTGATAACTGTTAGACCCCATTCACACTGAGCTACGTCAAAAAATGCTTTTTCAGCGCTGATTTGAGCTGAGCGACATTGAGCTACGTTGAGCTACAGTGCACATTTTGTCATGCTACGTAGCGCTACTTTTGGCAGTCTATCAAACCCTATTGGAGCCAAATCGCACAAAATCCGCTGGAAAAATAGGTCATGTTCGAGCGACAAGCAGCATTGAGCTGTGAGATGTGAACAGCTCCATTGAAATGCATTGGACGAGCTACATTGAGTGGAAATCGCGCTACAAATCGATCAGTGTGAATGGGGTCTAATAGATGCCAGTTTGCTTATGTCAGCTCTCAACTGAACTTTCAAGCCCCCAAATGGCTGGTGTCAAAGCTGATCACATGCAGATCTGAATAAAGGCTAAGATGGCTAAGATTTTTTTAACAATGATTATTTACTTATGTTCAACAGACCAATGACGGGGACAGTGATGACACTGATCTTCAGATTTTCTGCGTGTCCTGTGGCCATCCAATAAATCCCAAAGTTGCGTATTCAGCTGTAAAGGATGGAAGGGTGTAGTTCCAGTTTATGAGATATCATCAGTAGGAGCTTGGGAAGTATGTTCATAGGGAGGTGAAAAAGGGGAGAGAAAAGAAAGAAGCGTGTATTAATGTAATAGTGTTGGATTAAAATGAAGGACTGTCCAGTAGCTTGGGAACTATGTCCAAAAAGAGGTGAAAAATGGAAGAGAAAACAGAGGCATGTATTAATGTAATTGTGTTTGGCTTCAATCATTTCTTTTTTTATATGTTTCTTTTTTACAGGTATTTATATAGCGCCCGGCATTTTATGTAGCGCTTTACATACTGCACATTCACATCAGTCCCTGCCCTCGAGGAGCTTACAATCTAAGGTCCCTATCTCACATACATATATACAGGGCAGATTTAGACAGGAGCCTATTAACATACCAGCATGTCTTTGGAGTGTGGGAAGAAGCCGGAGCACCCGGAGTAAACACACGCAAGCACAGGGAGAACATGCAAACTCCTTGCAGATAGTGTCCTGACCGGTATTTGTACCAGAGATCCCCAGACCTGCGAGGCTTTTAGGCTCCTTTTTATATCCTCTTATCTGCTTTGCTGGAAAGCCGGTTGTCTAGAGAACTAAACAGCTAAAGCTGACATTTTCTTACAGAATCGAATCATTTAGAGCAGTGACTGTTCCCTTTTTCTGTCTACTGTGTTCAGATGGGGCCATGTAGCGTTTCAGTCAGAGACAATCTTGTTTCATAGGTGTACAGTATTTAGGGTTTATTAAACAAAAATGCAATATAAAATGGACCTAAAACTATTATATACAGTATACTATTAGAATATATTATTATATTTTGTAATATTATATATATTTTTTAAGGTTGCAGGCTCAGATGTGCTCACTATGATGCTGACTTCAAATACACACTGAAGTCACAAGAACTGTTTTTTTTCTTTCCCGTTATCAGGTGGCAGCAGACGAAGTGTGTGGCTGTCCCATCACAAAGGACGTCTTTGAGTTGACAGGTGACTTCTGCAGAGTCCCGAAGAGGAAATGTAACCGGCACTACTGCTGGGAGAAGCTGCGGCGGGCTGAGGTGGATTTAGAGCGCGTCCGCGTGGTACGTTCCCCCTGATGTGCAGTATATGTGAAACTGCTTAATTTGTGTTAGGCCTTGCTTGCATGAGTTGTTAAATAACTAAATCTTGTCCACTGCTTCTTAAAACCCTGGCAGTATTAGCACATATTTTGCAGGTGTTCATTTCCCTTTGGTCCGCCTATGTACCAACTCATTTTCCACAGCGATGCAAAAAAATTATTATTTTAGTTATTGTTCCTAAAACTAAAAATAAACACTCACCAGACATTTTTTTGAAACCTGTGTAAAGAAAGACTCATTTCAGGGATGCAACGGGCCATTGGGGTAGTAAGCTCTGCCTATATAAGGTTGAACCCCACTTATAAAAGAACTCTGGGGAAAATTATTATTAACCCTTGCTGTGGGACTATCCCCGCACTGCAAGGGTTAAGTGGCCGTTTGTGTCTAGGGAGGAAAATAAAAAGTTATATTCACGTGATCCTCTGAGCCGGCTTGCTCTTAGTCTGGTCCCTGGAGCCTCTCTTCCCCCCCCTCCACTGCAGCGATCTACGTCCTTGGATCGGGTGAGTATAACTTTGATCTTTAGCTCTAGACCAAAACAAGCAGTTAACCCTTGCTTTAAGGGTTAATAATTATTTTCCATGGAGTTCTGCTTTAACTATGAGAGGTTGGTGTTTACACCACCTTAAACTAGTTGTCAAAAGAGCTGGAAGAGCTTTGATTTTTATTTTCTTTATTACATTTTTCTAATATTTTACTTATAAAAGAGAGCTGTGCTCAGAGAAGTATGGAGGCTTCCATTGCTGCCCACCCTGCTGCAAATGCTCATTGGCTAGCTGTTTGCTTATCCAAAAGTTTCTGTTTTTTCAGAGTCACTGATTCCAGGTGAGTGCTTCACAAAGTATTGAAGCCATATAGAGCCAGGCCTGTAGCATTTTCAGTAGAGGTCAGTGGCAGCCCCCTTATTTCTGTCAGTACAGGCATAGAGCATTATGCACAGTAAAATGTATTTCCTAGTAGAGTCGGGTAGTGCTGCATTGGTGGTTTGGGTTTGACTGTTTAAAGCTGTCTTGACAGGTTTTCTTTATACCCCAGTCTTCTATTGTGTCGTCTAATGAACCTTTTTACCGTTCTAAATAGGGATGCACCGAAATTTCGGCCGCAGAAACATATCGGCCCGAAAATGGCACTTTTGGCAAAATGCCGAAAGTGCCATCTTTTGGCCAAAATGGTGCATCCCTGCTTTCTCTCCTCCCCGCTGGGCACTGCTCTGTGACCCAGTGTGGAGGAGAAACACTGTCACAGGAGGCTGAGCGGTGCAGGGAAGGAGAGTGATGTGAGCGGTCGGTGTCTCTCCTCCGCACCGCTCAGCCTCCTGTCACAGATTAAGAGAGCGGTGGTGTGGGGGCGGAGACAGCTGTCACAGGAGGCCGGGCCGGCGGTGCAGGGGAGGAGTCAGATGTCAGAGGAGCTCCAGCTCCCCTTTCCGCACCGCTTGCTCAGCCTCCTGTGACAGCGAGTCAAGATGGAGAGCGGTACAAGCAGTCAGTGATCGCTGAGTGTTTGTAAATAATTGAGGACAGAGTATGTTTACTGTGTCTCCCCAATTATGAATGAATGGGAAGTGATCTACATCACTTCCTGTTCATTCACTATTGTGGACACAGTAAACATACTATCTCCACAAGTTATGAATGAACAGGAACACTCAGTATAGAGGATTCATATTTATTTATAACAGGGGCTGCAGAAAAAGAGATTGAGGACTCTGTATCCTCAATCTGTTTTTCAATCTTGAAAGGGAAATATCAGGGTTCTGTTTAGACCCCCAATATTTCCCCGAAGCCCCCCAACAGTAAAGTAAAAAATAAAAATATTTAATAAAAATAAAATATTAAAAAAAAAATTGAAAAACTTAGATTAAAAAAAACATTTTTGGTTTCGGCCTGACATTTTTTATTCATTTTGGTTTAATTTCGGTTTTGAAATGTTCATTTTGGTGCACCTCTAGTTCTAAATAACCACAGTGATGGTGAGGGAATTTCTCCCCAAAGGCAAGCATTGAAAACTCAACAGAATTCTAACCCTCCTTGACTCCTCTTTTGAAGTTCTGATTGGAGATCTGCTTTATTAACATAATAAGGATTTGATGGTATGAAGAAAATCCCCTTTTACTGGACCAGACCTTTTTCATAGAACCTTCTTTTTTTGTGTCCTTTCAGTGGTACAAACTGGATGAACTCTTTGAACAAGAACGCAACGTCCGAATGGCCATGACCAACCGTGCCGGACTCTTGGCTCTCATGTTACATCAAACCATCCAGCACGACCCCGTGACCACAGACCTTCGCACCCACATCGAACGCTGAGCCTGAGAAGCTTCCATATCTTGTCTTTACGGAAAGAGAGAGGACTTTGTATTAAAAGCTGACCTTTCTTTACATTTTATAAAAGTTGTGCCGAGCTGGTGTATAAAGAGACTGCAGTTTGTTCGGAATATTTCTTATGTTTTGTTCTTTCCAAAGTTTGTGAATCTCACACGGTTTATGTACATGGTGGAAATTCAGTCTCTTACCGGCCATTTTTAAATGACAGAATCTTTCATTGTCATATACTACATTGAAGCGCACAGAAGATTTTTTGTTTTTTGTGGTCTGCTGAGAATAATTTCATGAGTGTTCTGAAGACAATACTTTCTAGTTGGCTCTTTATTAGAATACACTAGCTGAGAGATTTTCAACTACAATTTTCCACATTAATGTGTCTTGTATTTTATTGGAATTATATGAATCTGATATTTTTTTTAATAGACCACTCCATGCAAATATGTATTCGCTCGTTTATTCCTTTAAACACTGTGAACGTTTTTTTTTTTAATTTATCCAGTAAAATTACCCAAAATCGCTCCTTCCAGATGCCAGATCCGCATGTCACCTAAAAATCGAAATCAGGCTTGCATTAGGGGTATGTGCAGGAGAGGAAAGTATTTGGGGCAGTACATAGGAGATGGAGAGCTCAGAATGGAAAATGGTGGTGTGATGTTAATTCAACGAGCGGGCAGGGCAGTAATATAGAATTGCATTGTATGCGAGGTGTTGTCACTTTTGTATTATGCAACCATATAGAATTGCAAAATTCGGTGGTTAAAAGCTGTGTATATGGCCATACAACTCAATATGCATGCACAAGCAACTCAAAAGTAACCAAAAGCAACTGCCAAACTTACAGTCGGCTCTACAAGTTTAAACAGAGTCCCGGCGGCAAAAGTCGCCGGGAGTCTGTTTAAACAGCCCCGATGCTGGCGACGTACACTGTACGTCGTCAGTCACGAAGGGGTTAAGCAGCATTTTCACTGCAGTTCTTCCCCACTCTCCAATTCTTCTCCTTGACGATGGGTGACTTAACATGGGGCATGGCGCATTTGGAGTTGAAAGGGAAGCCTTTTCTGTGTATTTGGTTGCCATTGTGCCACTATGGTAACTTGTGCACAGATCAGGTGGCTTATGTTGCATGAAAATCAAAATCCTGCAATGCGGGTGATTCTTGCAAGATTTTGGCTGAATGCCAGGAAATTGTCTATATATGTCACCACAGCATGTGGAATGATTGGTCACAGCATTTCAGAAATGCCAGGGAGAAGTGTATGTGCAGGACCAGAAAACATTAAGACCTCATTCACACGAGAAACGGCCGGCACGTACAGCTCCGTGCTGCGTGCACAGCCGTATCGAGCAGCTCCCGGGAAGGACAGGTGCTGCATGTGGTTAGTACACAGCCCCTGTCTTTCTCTATGGAACTATGTGGCCGTGCGCTGCCCTTCGCTGACCCCAAGTGCAGCTTTCCCTGGAGCTGCCCTACACGTCCGTGCGGGTGTCCATACTTGTACGCTGACAGGATGGATCCTGTCTGCATCCGTGCACGGACACCCGCACGGACGTGTAGGGCAGCTCCCGGGAAGGAAAGGTGCTGCGTGGGATTAGTACGCAGCCCCTGTCTTTCTCTATGGGACTATGCGGCCCTACGCAGACCCCAAGTGCGGGGTGTCGCGGCTCGGACGCAGACAGGATCCATCCTGTCAGCGTACGAGTATGGACACCCGCACATACGTGCAGGGCAGCTCCCGGGAAGGAAAGGTGCTGCGTGTGATTAGTACGCAGCCCCTGTCTTTCTCTATGGGACTATGCGGCCCTACGCAGACCCCAAGTGCAGGCCTGTGCGGGTGTCCCGGCTCGGACGCAGGCAGGATCCATCCTGTCAGCGTACGAGCACGAACGTGTAGGGCAGCGTACGGCCGCGTAGTCCCATAGAGAAAGACAGGGGCTGCATACTAATCACATGCAGCACCTGTCTTTCCTGGGAGCTGCCCGATACGGCCCTGCACGCAGTAAGTACTGGGGGTATTTTTGAGGGCCTCCCACAGAGCGAGCAGCAAGGGAGCCTTGGAAAGGTAAGTAGCAGTGGGTGAGTTTGGTGGTGCCCTATCATAGCAAACTATCACTTTGCCCATTTTCTTTAAGCAACGCTTAATATAGAATTTTAGAATGTGGTCTAGTTGGTCTAGTTAAGACAGGGCTGAGGACTCTTTCTTTCCCCTCACCTAAACTGCAAGCACTGCCACATTGGAGAAAGGGAAGGGAGTTGCATGCTTCTTCATGCTCTGAAGTACTGGGTATTTTCTTCACTTGCAGAGGCTGAATGGAGCAGCAGGAGAGCAATGGGTAAGTAAGTATGTGGACGGGGCATTAAAGTATGGGGCACCAAAGCACAGGTTTTCTTTAAGGCGAAAAGTCAAGTATAAAGACTGGTAGTCTGTAGCAACCAGTCAGAACCTGTCTGTCATTGCTGCCCATAATCTGTTTTTAGTGCCCCTGTAACCAGCTCCTAGCTTTCTGACATCAGAGTTGTGCAGGGATATGAGGAGGGTGACCCCTGGTGACCATGTAAAGGGCGTTTCCTCATTGTACCTAAAATAAAAATGATGGGCATTCATAATATAGCAGGCACCTCCACTTTCCCACACATCTATTCTGATCTTATGTAGAATGACCTGGGACACCATGTAACCTTGGGGGTGCTCTGTTATGCAAATAAGCAACACCTGCCCTGGTTGGTGGTGCTGGTCCAGTCATGCATCCTACTATTGGCACATCACTATGCCGGGTGGCATTTAGGGGGTGCATGAGGTAGTACGCAGTGGGCCACTGTCGATAACTGTGGGAGGTGGTGGGTATTCATTCACAGAACAGAGCCCCCGGGGGTGATGATGATAATAAGGTCTGACAAACCCCAAACTAAGTGGGAAGCACAGGGTAGTCATATTGACCTCAATGCATCCCTCATATTCCTAAAAATGCAGTAACAGAAATGGTTAGATATAAATCTCATGTCTGTTGTGGGCAGCCAGAGAAGATGGCACATTTATAACCACTTTTATAGAACACAGACCAGCTTAGAAGGAATGCAGGCGTATCATAAAACCTCCATTTGCCCGAATCCTTAAGGCCTTGTTCACACCAAATGCAGAGCAGATCCGCTCAGGTTTCTGCACACGCAGTGCAGTGGGTTGTGCCGCGTTTTTGGACCGTTTTTGGTTAAAAAAAAAATGTTTTTGTTTTGTTTAACATGGGCTTTCAGTGCGTTCCAGGCATTTGCATGCGTTTTTGATGCGTTTGCAGAACCAGAGCAGGTAGCATAGGGCCAGCTGCAGTTTTTTTTACCTGCTCTGGAACTGCACGCTGCGATGTGAACTGGAGCTAAAAATACCATTGGAATACATTGGACGCAGTTTTGATCCGGTCTGTAACTGCTCTGCTCTGCGCTTGGTGTGAACAAGGCCTAAGAGGCTCCTAATGCAGCCTTGTTGTAAATCAGTCTAGGAAGAGCAGTAAGAGCAATCCACATCTGGAAGTCTGGTTTTATTTCACCTAAACCTGCATTTTTATACATCTCAACTTTCCACATTATTCTAGAACTCCTTCAGTAATGGAGTTGCATTTATACAAAGTTGTTACACTGATGACTAGGAAGCTGCCAATCAGTTCACATCACACACGCCTATATTACAAGGTCCAGATGGGTAATGGAACACATCAGACCTCCTAAGTAAGACCTGCATAAGATCCATATCATATTTGGTGTCTAACAAATCATAATTTCTTTACTGTAAAACCTTGTCAGATGGAAATATACAGTTAGGCTCTATATACCACCACAATGGATTGGAAATGAAACAACTGAGATGCAATTGAAGCGCAGACTTTCATCTTTAATTTATGCGGTTGAACAAAAATAACATATGAAACATTTAGGAATTGCAACCATTTTCCTACTTATTTCAGGGGCTCAAATATAATTGGACAAATTAACACAATCATAAATATAATGATCATTTTTAATACTCTGTTAAGAATTCTTTGCAGGCAATGACTGCTTGAAGTCTGGAATGCATGTACATCCCCAAGCACTGGGTTTCCTCCTTTGTGATGCTTTGCCAGGCCTTTACTGCAGCAGTCTTTAGTTGTTGTTTGTTAGTGGGACTTTCTCCCCTAAGCTTTGTCTTCAGCAAGTGAAATGCATGCTCGATCGGGTTGAGATCCTGTGCTTGACTTGCAGAATATTCCACTTAATAAAATGATTGTGTCGCACAGAAATAGTATCCAAATCTGTCGCCTTACATCAGCAAAAAATTGTGTGAAAAATATCAATCCCAATCTTGTTTTTTAAAACTCCTATATAATATAAACGCACAAAGTATGCATGAATAGAGGTGCATATAAATAAACATCTACATAAAATATGACAACAAATGTATTAGTGTGACTGTGTGGTCATCCACATTAATATAGTGTTAAAGTGCAAACCTGTTCAGTCCACATGTTGGCGCTATATAAATCCTATATAATAATAATGAAGTGCTTCAATCAGTGTAAAAGTTATCAGTCCACATTTAGTCATGCACTAACATTGGTGTATCCACTCGTATTGCATCTATCGACTGTGTCTTCACCCGTGTAAAATAACAACATCTGCATCTTACCTTATGGATAGACCTCTCAGAGAGAAGGTCATCAGCGTGTTACCCCGTTTGTAGCCAGGAAGGGGTCCTTCTGCCCTTAAGGCCGGTTCACACCACAAAGAATGCGTTCCAGAGCGTTCGGCCTCTGGAGCGCAAACCAGCAGGCTCCCTGCGTTCAGGGGCGGGAGGGGGGTGTGTCGTGCATTGAAGTCAATGGGACTGCAGCCACGCTCCCCGCCCGCAGTGCGATCGCTGGCACCTGAACGCGTGGCACATTAGTGCCTGCGTTCCGGTCCAGTGCGGTCTGCAAAAATAGTGCAGACCGCACAATGTGCCACGTGTTCTATCAAAGTTTGTGACTACTTTAGAATGTGTGACCGATCACGTGGTCACACTTTTTAACGTAATCCCGCCCAATTTTACAGTGGTGGAATATGTGACCGCCCATTAGGTCAAACATTCCAACGCTTTGTCAGCTGTTCCGGGGCAGATCGGCATCGCAGATTGCATGTGCAAGAGAATCGATCTGCATTACCCCATCTACCTGGAACAGCTGATCGGTCCTCAAATGTCACTACTATCCAACTTTCTGAGTGCGATCTCACATTCCACTGCACTCACAAAGTCGGACAGAAGTTACATTTGAGGACCGATCAGCTGTTCCAGGCAGTGAGCCAGTCTGCCCTGAAACAGCTAACAAAGCGTTGGAATGTTTGACCTAATGGGCGGTCACACATTCCACCGCTGTAAAACTGGGCATTAAAATGTGTGACCACGTGACCGATCACACATTCCAACGCAGTCC